TGGTTTTCCCAGTTGCAATGAATGGCTGTGAAAGTTGGACCATAAGGAAGGCTAAGCGCCAAATTATTGAGGCCTTTGAACTAGGGTGCTTGAGAAGACTCCTACGAGTCCCTTGGACTGCAAGGCGATCAAACCAATCAGTCCTAGAGGAGATCAACCCTGACTTATCTTTAGAAGACCAGAGCCTGAAGATGAAACTCAAATACTTTGGCCACCTAATGAGAAGGAAGGACTCACTGGAGAAGAGCCTAATGCTGGGAAAGATTGAGGGCAAAAGAAGAATGGGACAACAGAGAATGAGGTGGTTGGATGAAGTCATCAAAGCAGTTGGTGTGAGCTGAAATGGACTCCAGAGGATGCTAGAGGACAGGAAGGCCTGGAAGAACGTTGTCCATGGGGTTGCGATGGTTCAGACACTACTTCACAACTAATTAACAACAGGGTCCTTGAAATGGGTTGGCAAATCCTATGTTACCCCCGTCTCCCTGATTACAACTATGTTGTAGCTCCTGAAAGAAAGGCAAAATATGAATAACCCAAACGATAATTAACTTTAATCTTCAAGGCAATTTGCTTTGGAATATCAATTGTTAAAAGTACAGGTAGTACTTGATTTACAACAATTCACTTAGTGACCGTTCTAAGTTACAACGGCACAGAAAAAAGTGAGTTATGACCATTTTTCACACTTAGGACCTTGGCAGCATACCCATGGTCATGAGATTTACATTGGGATGCATGACAACTGACTCACATTTATGATGGTTGCCATGTTCCAGGGTCATGTGATCTCCTTTTGCAACCTTCTGACTAGCAAAGTCAAGGGGGAAACCAGATTCACTTAACAACTGTCCTAGTAATTTAAGAACTGCAGTGATTCACTCTACAAAGGTGGTGAGAAAAGTCGTAAAATGGGGCAAAACTCACTTAACAAATTTTACACTTAACAACATAAATTTGAGTCTCAATTGTGGTCATAGGTTGAGGACTACCTGTATTTTATATCTTAGCTTGGGGGAACCACTAGATGGCAGCAAAACATTGTAGACAATTCCGATGCCACCTAGGGGTCCTCTGGAGTTTTGCAGCAAAAAACATGGTAGCATTAGATCCCATCTTTTTCTTAGGAGATGTACTTAGTTGGCTTGATTCTACTTACATGTGTGATGCTTATAATTTTGTTGGGAATAAACTGGAGGAATCCAACTAGAATTGTCTCAAACTTTTCCTTATGCATTTACTTATTATGGCATAAACCAGAGCAATCTTTCCAATCTTGGCCCATCTGAACGTGTCGGGACTACAAATCTCATAATTCAAGGTTAGAAGTTTTAATCTCAAATGACACACAGAATTTCAAGTTGAAGAAGGATTGCTTGTAATGGTAGGGTTAAAAAGGACGACTTTTATAAATGCATTTGCTTTGTTTGAAGCACAAGTATCTGATACTGAAGTATCAGCTTTAGAATGATGCAAAGTTTGATTGCATCAACATTCTCACATTTGGCTGCACTGGACATAATAGATCCAGGGTCCCCATCCTGGTTCGTGGATCAGAACTGGTCCGTGACATGCCAGCAACTGGGCCACGCAAACAAGCAAAGCCTCATCTGTGGGATGCAAATAGTATGCAAAACCCTCCACTCCATAGAAAAAGTGGCCCCTGGGGCCCAAAAGACTGGGGACTGCCGTGATGATCACCAAGAATTTTCCCCGAAAATAAGACAGGATCTTATTTTCTTTTGACCCCCAAAATAAGTGCTTGGGCTTATTTTTGGGGAAGTCTTATTATTTTTGAGGTGCAGGAGGCGGTGAGCATGGTCACCTCATGGCTGCTGCTGTGTTGCAATATTTTCAGGGAGGGATTATTTTTGGGGAGGGATTATTTTAGCGCACATGCTCAAAAGCCCGATTAGGCTTATTATCTTGTGAGGTCTTATTTTATGGAAAACAGGGTACATTCTTTGTGAGATAAACTCAATTATTTAACTCAATTTTAATTCAAAATAAACTCATCTGTCACAGAGTAATAACTACATTCTTGCCTTAGATATCACCATTTCTGTTTTCAATTAGTCCATTTTAGCTTGAAAAATTTCCCAATCTGTTCAACCGGAATATGCATTCTTCTTCTTTTTTTCCCCCTCCCTCTCAATTTCATTTTCAGTTTTGGGTTGTCAGCCTGTGATTTCAAGCTGTGGAATTTTCTTTGCTAATTTTTCTTTTAATTAAAATTATTTTTTTTTAAAAAAAAATCTAGTGGAGTTTACTGCAGCTAATCTGATTGCCTCTTTAAATGAGGTCAGTTTCTCAATCCTGCAGGGATCAAATAGGTTGAAACCTATCTGCACATGAATACTGTTAATGGATTTGGAAGTGTAAATGCACAACTGGAGTCAGAATCAGCTGTACATTCAAGAATTGGGTACTGTGAATTGTATTGCAAATTCCAAGCAGTTTGTTTCATGGATGGGTTCTGGCTGGTGCTACTGCTGGTTTGCTCGTGTGTGGATGCTGGATGCACTGGATGCGTGCTAGGCGCGCATGCAGAGTTCAATAGAAATTGTTCTGCGCTTGCGCAGAACTAAAAAACAAGATGGCACCACCAATGGCGCCGACCAGAGAACCAGTTCAGGGGCATGGCAGGCTTGGGTCGCTGCTGGTTCCAGCAACCCAGGCCGCCCTACCACTACCGGTTTGGCCAAACTGGGTCGAACGGGTGGGAATCCACCACTGGTTTGTTTGTTTGATTTATACAGATAGTTCTTAATTTACCACCATAATTGTGGCCAAAATTGCTATTGCTAAGCGAGACATTTGTTAAGTGCATTTAACCCTTTTTTATACCCTTTCCTGCCACAGTTGTTAAGTAAATCACTGCAATTGCTAAGTTAGTAACACAGTTGTTAAGTGAATCTTGCCTTCCCCATTGACTTTGCTTGTCAGAAGGTCACAAAACATGATCACATGACCTCGGGGTACTGCGACTGTCATAAATATGAACTGGTTGCTGAGTGTCTGAATTTTGATCACGTGACCACGAGGAAGCTACAACGGTCATAAGTATAAAAAATGGTCATAGGTCACTTTTTTCAGCGCTTATAACTTTGAATGGTCACTAAACAAACACTTGTAAGTTAAGGACTACTTATATATTGCCTTTATTGTTTTTTGTAAATAACTCAAGGCGGCAAATTTACACCGTACTTTTTCCTTCTCCTATTTTCCCCACAACAACCATCCTGTGAGGTGAATTGGAGTGACAGAGACTGGCCCAAAGTTACCAGCTGCCTTTCATGCCTAAAGCAGGTCTAGAACTCATAGC